GGCCTCCAGAGCCTCGCCCTTCAGGCCCCATCTCTGCTCCCTCGGCTGCCTCCTGGGTCCTCCCCCCTCGCCACTGACTGCTGAGCGGGAAGCGGACTGGGTGCGGTCACTGGGTGCTGTCTCGGGCGTCTGTCCAGCAGCCCCGGTGCTGCCCTCAATCCTGAGCCTGGAGCAGTTTCCCCCAGCCCTCTGGCTGCTTGTCTCAAGTCCCTCCATGTGTGAGCCCTTCCCCTACCCCCACCCCGCCATGTTGGCAGCTGCCCTGAGGAACTCCCAGGTTGTCTGGCCTGGAGTCAAGTTTGGATGACAGGGCAGCATCCCTTCCTGACTCCCTGCTCTTGGATTCTTTCGTTTTGCCGTCAGTTGCACAGCCCCCACCGCTGCGGCCTGTGATCGCCGGGGCATGTCTGCGGCTCCCCCACTACAGTGCTGCTGCCAAAACCAGTAAGGCTCTTGGTGCCTCTTGGCTCTCCCCACCCCAACAAGGGAGCACTGGCAACTTCCCGCGAGACTGCCTCCCTGGCCCCCCATTCTTCTGGTGTTGCTTTTTCTGGGTTTGACCCGGGTCCATGAGGTGTGCGCTAAACCCTCTGGTGGGCCTACCCTCTTTCTCCACAGCCGTGTTCCTTAGACCACGTCCCTGGGAGGCCACGGGTCTTCCGTGGAATTCTGTGATCTCCACCTGGACAGTCCTGCACCCTCTCCCCACCTCCGTCCCTGTGTCGCTGGCACTGGTTGTTTTCTGTGAAAACGGCAGTGAGCAGACTCAGTCTCGAACTGGCCCTGAGGACATGGGTCAGTAGTTGTGTGGGCAAGAGTGGGGTGAGAGCTGTTGGAGAACTGAAAATGAATTTTAACATTTCTTATATTAGTAATAAATGCAGTGGAAACAACAAAAAAAGAATTTTAATACACTACTTTTTCTTTAAAATATCAAGAAACTGGAGGCCCGATGCACGAAATTCGTGTAAGGGGCTCAGCCCCCGCCATGGCCGCTGCCCAGGCCGCTGCAGCTTCATCTGGAAGGTCGTCTGGAAGGACGTCCAGTCTAATTAGCATAATGTGCTTTTATTATTATAGATACAAATTTCAAAGCACCTACACTGTGCTAAAAGAACATGACCTAAAGTCCAAGCTCCTGTCTCAGTGCAGGTTCAGTCCCATCTGGCCGAGGAAAGAGGAGGTGGCAAACCAGACCAATTGGCTGAGAAGCTGGCCCTGCTGTTCAGGTTGGGACTGTCCATCATCATACATGACCCTGCAGGAGGCGGCAAAGAGCTGACGCCACACCCAGTGTTGATATCAAACTCATTTCACATTCGGACTGTGGGAGGACAAGACCGGTCGGACTGCCGGGAGCAGTGCCGGCCCTGGTCAGAGGAGGGCAGGGTGAGTGGTTAAAGCCGGGCTCCAGCACGCAGCCTGGGCTCATTATCTCAGTAGTCAAATGCACACAAGTATGGGCCTTACCTCACAGGTGTGTGGGAGATGAAGTGGGAGGGCTTAGATGCTAAGTGGCACATAGTAGGTGCTCAGCTGTACGCTCTCTTGCCTCTGTCTAAGCCCAGCTCCCAATCAGCACAAATGCTACTCTTGCCAGAAGCCCCCAGTTTCTTAGATGCCCCCAAATGTAAACGCAAAGCAGATGAGTCTATGAATCCATGAAGAGACAGGGAAACATGTTTCTTATTAGTCCCTGAGAAGTTAATACTGATTATGTGAGAGAAACAAAGATTACATTATGAACACATTGACTTCTTACGATGCATTGATTATTTCAGCCAACTTTTAAAAATTAGGTTAAAAAGTTCTTGATTTTTATATACAGTTTGTTATTGCAAGGGAGGTTTCTCTTAATTATTTAAAATTACTAAATTAGATAGTAAATAATTACTGTTCTTCTAGCATTAGTAAAGAATAGTTTAGTTTCTACAGACCCGAGCCACTTTATAGATGTTTATGCAACGTGGATAAGAGTGCAACAGTGGGTAGAGTTTACACTTCTGAGAAGTAGCCAATGGTGAGACGTTTAATGAGAAAAAATGTTCCATTTTCCCAATAAAAAATTTGAAATTCTTCAAAATAATATTTTGAAAATATCTTCCACAGGTATCAGAACTCTAAAAATTAACCAACTGAAAACTTTGTTGTTATTGCTCTTTTGAAGTTATAACTTAAAGCAAACCTTGGAACAAATTTAGTTGATAAAATTAATTATAGATAGTTATTAGTGTCCATACCTTTGAAGCTGGGAAAAGCTACTTGATGAAATGATCAAGCTAAAGAGAAACTTTATCAAGGGGTTATTTCCAAAATATTTTGAAATATTTTCATAAAGAATATATGGACGTAAATATATGGATGATGACTAGAAGGAAATATAGGTGAGTCTTGTAGTCCCAAAAGAGACAATTATTACTAATAATAAAAAAAAGCAAAAGTAGCTACATAAACTTGGTTAATCTCATGTGAACATACCTTAGGACCACAAACGAAAGAGAGAACTGTAAGAACACGCATGGTGAAGTACAATCCCAGCCCCATCACAAGAGCATGGCCAGTTTCCAAACCTTGCACTGGTATTTCTCACCCAGTTGTTCCAAGTATTCCTCGAAGTTCTCACTGGATTCCAGTTTCCAAGTTCCCAAGAAGGGCTCGACCATGATGGAGAGCTTGCTGAGAAGAGGCACCCACAACCAGAAGCCAAGAAACATGGGCAATCCAGTGCTCCCACATCTTCATTTACAAGGCACCTTCGTCATGTGACTTCTGAAGTGGCCAATGGGCAGCAGCAAGACCAGAGAGTCTGGGCACTGGCGCAGACTCATTTTATCTACCTCCAAATTAAAGTGCAGAAAATTAACATGTGAGTTGAATTTAGGTCAACAATTATAGCTTCTAGCAAAGAGATTTATACACCAGGGTCACCTGATATATATAGCTTCAGAACTGGAAACAATTTTCAATAGAGATCAGCCTTTTGAATGCACGCCTAGTCAACTCCGAAGGAATCTCCTGGCGCTGTCTAAGGAACACCTGGCTGAGGTGTTTTCCCACCTGATACAAGGACATCCTTGCTTGGCTGCACCTGAGGTGTTCTTTGTTTGCACGCTGCCTGAGAACTCTCTTCATTAAAATAATATCTGCCGCTCCCTTCTTTGAGGGTTGATGAACCGATAGTAGTTAATGTAACTGAAATATCTACACTTGCTTGGAGTGAGGTGTGGGCTATTATTAATATTATCATTGTTCTTCATCAAGAGTAATTGTGGACTGGAAGGAAAAGTAACAATTATCATTGATTAGTGTTCTGTGATTTAAGCTCAGAAAGGGAGGTAGAGCTAATGTTCGGAAAATTCATTTTTTTAGGCTAACAAAGTAAGCTTGGTGTTAAAATATACCACTTGAAATTGTGAGGGAACGTTTTCCAGAGAAATACAGTGGGGCCTTGACTTACGAGTGTCCCGACTAACGAGTTTTTCGAGATACGAGCCGTCTCTCGGCCGATTTTTTGCTTTGAGTTGTGAGCTAAAATTCGGGTTACAAGCCAGCTTCAGATACCCCACCACTAGTTGGTTCAGCGAACGTCACAGTGAACACCACAACATCAGCCCAGCATCACGTGTCTCACTCGTTCACTTTAAGATTTGACATACGAGTAATTTGAGTTACGAGCTCCATCATGGAACGAATTAAACTTGTAAGTCAAGGCCCCACTGTACAGTATTTGGATACATGCATTCTGAAGACAAAGGAGCAGGTGATTTAAATCTTTATGCAGTGTGTCTGAAAGCATCTTCTGTAACCCAAATAATGGAAGTGGACCTTGTGGGTATCTACACTAATAAAAGACAAACATGCAAATTGACCATACATTTGCTATGCCTTAAGCCACGCCCACTAGCCAATCATAGCGACTATATGCAAATTAACCCTACCAAGATGGCGGCCAGCAGCCACGGAGCTGGAGCGAGTAGGAGGCTCGCTTGCCCCAGTGATGGAGGAAGCCAAGCTTCCTGCCTGCTGCAGCCGGCTCTGAGTTCCACTCAAGGCAACAAAGTTTCAATTATAGAAGATAAATAAACCCCAGATACCTGCTTTCAGCCGGCCATGGCCACGGAACTGGAGCGAGCAGGAGGCTTGGGTTTTCCCTGGTGATGGAGGAAGCCAAGCTTCCCGCCTGCCACGGCCAGCTCTGAGCTCCACTCAAGGCTACAAAGTTTCAATTATAGAAGGTAAATAAATCCCAGAATAAGAAAAAAAGGAAACGCTGGGAGCTTCCATCGCCAGGGGGCTTGGCCAGCCTGAAAACGGCCCTCCGCCCCTCACCCAGACTGGCCAGGCACCCCAGTGGGGACCCCCACACTGAAGGGGGTGTGACCAGCCTGCAAACACCCATCAGCTCCTCACCCAGGCTGGCCAGGCACCCCAGTGGGACCCTCACCCTGATCCAGGACACCCTTCAGGGCAAACCAGCTGGCCCCTACCTGTGCACCAGGCCTCTATCCTATATAATAAAAGGGTAATATGCAAATTGACCCTAACAATAGAACGACTGGGAATGACTGGTCACTATGACACACACTGACCACCAGGGGCAGATGCTCAATGCAGGAGCTGTCCCCTGGTGGTCAGTGCGCTCCCACAGGGGGAGCTCTGCTCAGCCACAAGCCAGGCTGATGGCTGCCAGCACAGCGGTGGTGGCGGGAGCCTCTCCCGCCTCCTCAGCAGCACTAAGGATGTCCGACTGCAGCTTAGGTCTGCTCCCCGCTGGTAAGTGGACATCCCCCGAGGGCTGCCGGGCTGCCAGAGGGATGTCTGACTGCCAGCTTGGGCCCGATCCCCCAGGGAGCAGGCCTAAGCCAGCAGGTGGACATCCTCTGAGGGGTCCCAGACTGCAAGAGAGCATAGACCGGGCTGAGGGTCCCCCCCGAATGCACAAATTTTTGTGCACCGGGCCTCTAATATATATATATATATATATATCTACACTAATAAAAGAGAAACATGGTAATTGGCGTACGACCGCTACACTTTTCATTGGCTAATCAGTGAGGATATGCAAATTAACTGTCAGCCAAGATGGCGGCTGGCAGCCAGGCACTGAAGCGAGCATGAGGCTTGCTTGCTGCAGACTCCAACGTTCCCGCCTCACTTGCCGGCCTCTAAGCTACAACTCTAAGCAACTATGTACTATGTTGCAAATAAGAAGATAAACAAAACTCCAGAAACCAGCTGGACTGAAAGCCAGGCGGACCGAAACTTTGTATCGATGTTTTCAGCAGCGAGGCCTCAAAGCTAAAGCTGGCCAAGAATAATAAAAAAAAAGAAAACAAGGAGCGGTTGGGAGCTTCAGTCACTCGCCACCCAGAAAACAGCCCTCAGCCCCTCACCCAGACTGGCCAGGCACCCCAGTGGGGACCCCCACCCTGATCCAGGACACCCTTCAGGGCAAACCAGCCGGCTCCCACCCGTGCACCAGGTCTCTATCCTATATAGTAAAAGGTAATATGCCTCCCGGCACTGGGATCAGTGGAGCAGTGAGGCTCCCGGCACCAGGATCAGCGTGACAGGGGGCAGCGCCCAAACCCCCTGATCGCCCTGCGGCTCTGTGTGTTACAGGGGGCGGGGCCACAACCTCCCTATCTGCCCTGCTCTGTGCCTGATAGGGGGGAGCTCCCCAATCCCCTGATTGCCCTGCGGCTCTGTGTTTGACAGGGTAGAGCCATAACCTCTCCATCAGCCCTGCCCCGAGTGTGACAGTGGCGGCGCCCCAACCCCCTGATCGGCCCTGCTCTGTGGGTGATAGAGGGTGTCACCCCAACCCCCCTCCACGGGCCTTGCTCTGTGTGTGACAGGGTAGAGCCATAACCTCTCCATTGGCCCTGCCCTGAGTGTGACAGGGTGCGGCGCCCCAACCCCCTGATCCGCCCTGCTCTGTGTGTGACAGGGGGCAGTGCCCCAACTCCCCTATCGGCCCTACTCTGTGAGTGACAGCGGGGAGCTCCTCAACCCCCTGATCAGCCCTGCTCTGTGCGTGACAGGGGGGAGCTCCCCAACCCCCTGATGGGCCTGCTCTGTGCATGACAGGGGGGAGCGCCCCAACCCCCTGATCGGCCCTGCTCTGTGCGTGACAGGGGGTGGCGCCGCAACCTCCCCATTGACCCTGCCTTGAGTGTGACAGGGGGCGGTGCCCCAATCCCCCAATCGGCCCTACCCTGAGCGTGACTGAGGGTGGCATCGCAACCTCCCGATCCGCCCTGCTCTGTGCATGACAGGGCGGCGCCCCAACTCCCCAATCGGCCCTGCTCTGAGCCCAACCAGGGGCTGCACCTAGGGATTGGGCCTCCCCTCTGCCACCCGAGAGCAGGCCTAAGCCAGTAGGTCGTTATCTCCCGAGGGGTCCCAGACTGCAAGAGGGCACAGGCCGGGCTGAGGGACCCCCCCCTCCCCCCCGAGTGCACAAATTTTTGTGCACCAGGCCTCTAGTGTATATATATATATATATATATATATATATATATATATATATATATATATATATATAACAAGGGCTATATTCCAAGGCTGTCGATTTATGTCTCAGCTCCAAGCACCAGTTGTTTTGAAGATGGCTGGAAAACTAGAATAATATTCATACTATTTAAATTTTTTTTCCTTTTATTGAATTTATTGGGGTGACACTGTTTAATACAATTATACAGGTTTCAGGGGCACAATTCTATAACACATCATCTCTGCACTGTATTGTGTGTTCACCACCCCAAGCCAAGTCTCAGTCCATGACCATTTATCTCCCCTTACCCTCCTCCACCTGCCCTCATCTCATCTCCCGCAGCAATCACCACACTGTCCTCCCTGTCTAGGACTTTTTCTCCTTTTTTTTTTCTCAATCCCTCCGCTCTCCCACCTGGCACCCCCAGCCCAACCCACCAACAGTTGTCAGCCTGCTCTCTATCTATGAGTGTGTCTCTATTTTTGCATACTGTTATCAGCCTTGTTAAATATTCTTCAAAGAAATATTTATTCAAACCATGTCTTTGTGGGAAAAAAAATTTTTTTAAAGGTTGGTGTTTTGGCACCACAAGTTTATAACGTAAGTAGGCTAAAGAATGTCTTTTGATGAACACATATAAAGAGGAAATTTATAATGCAATGTATTCATAGGTGGAATAGTTACTGAAGTATATGGAGGGCAAAATGGGAAGCAAAACCCTAGCATCAGTTTCAGGAAACTAGGACACGGGCTCAAGACTAAGTGCCTTCCCAGTTAACACAGTCCTCAGAGGTGAGGGCTAATGAGGAGATCTTGCCTAACCGGTCAAGGTGTGCTCCCATCTCTCCAGAAGACAACAGACCTACATGGCCACTCCCGTTTGCCAGTGGGCTAGTGGGACAAGGTCTCCCGTTAGTGGAGCCACCCTTTCTCCAATCCCCTTGCCATGGATGGATCCAGCAATCAATGTGGTGGCCCCTTGTAGAACTCGTAAGGCCCATGAGACCAATGGGAAAGTCAGATTCTGGCTTCTAGAGGATGACCTTACCCCCTGAGAGAGCCCGAGGGATGGTCTTATGTCACGACTCCAAGGTAACGTGAGACAGGATGGCAGGGAGCAAAGCGGGAGGAGCGGGCCACTGCATTTCTGAAATTCTGATCACCTGACTAAGTTCCATTAGTCTTTCA